ACTATGACCCAAGCATTTTGGTCTTATTTGAATTAGTTTAGTTATTGTTTTAATTCTTTTACTGTCCTTTTATTGTTTTTTATTGTTATTATTGTATTACATTGTTGCTTTTTAATACCATTTTTATATTATTAAGCACTTTGTGCAGCATCGGCTGTTTGAAATGTGCTATATAAATAAATTTGACCTTAAAGAACTGAGAGCTGCTGGGACTCACAGTCAGACGAGCTGTGAGGGTTAAAATTAATTTATTATTATTATAGAATTTATTGTATCTTGAACAAAAAGGGACACGTAGAAATGTTTAATTAATTTAGCACTGAGACACCCCTTACAAACACTAAACTCCTCAAATCAGCTGCCATTCTTGAGTATTGGATGTTTAAAAGAAAAAAATTAATTTCTTAAAATTGTCTGATCATCAACAACAGGATTTGTATTATGTTTACAAGAAGTAGGAAATGAAAACCTTTGGATTGCAAGGAGGAGGATAGATATCACTGATGTGACTGAAGGCGAGTCTGTCTGCAGTGAGCTGCAGCCTGTTCTTAATAAATGTATCCCACAGTCTCCTTGAAGAGTGAGTCAGGTTTACAGTGGGACAGTGGAAAGTTACTGACCTTGGTTTGTGGTGCAGCTCAGCAGTGAGATCAGAACTAAAGAGAGATTAAACGCAGGTTAGTTCAGAGTAGAGCTGTATGTGGGAGTATTTCTAATCCAACTCCTGCAATATTTGTGTTTAATCCTGCCCACACCCACAGACTCACTGATATTCATAATTGTCACGTGATGTTAGAGCTATTGTGACACGCCACCTTGAGGGCAAAAACTATACTGGGTCCTTTGCCCTCCAGTCATTCGAGTTTAATTAAAGTGCCAGATGTTTGCTGTGCTCTCCAATGCACTAATCAGTGTTTATTTACAGCTGAAGAATGTAGAGTATGGCACCAACATGTGAGGACACCTCTCCTAACCCTGTGTGGGATTATTTCTAATCCAACTCCTGCAATATTTGTGTTCAATCCTGCCCACAGTTAAACTGTGTTTAACTAAAGTGCCAGATGTTTGCCGTGCTCTCGGATGCTCTAATCAGTGTTTATTTACAGCTGTCAGAAGAATGTAGAGTATGACACCAACATGTGAGCACACCTCTCCTAACCCTGCCTTACAGACTAATGTCTGATAAAATATGTTTATATGCATTGAATGTGCAATTTCATTAAAATAAGAACAGAATAAATAAAAACAAATTCAACAAAAATCTCTGCTTTGAATTAAAAACAGATGCAAACCCTGAGACACAGTTCAAAGAAATACATTCAAACACACTGGTTCATGGGACCAGTAAGAACATACATTTGTTAAAATTATTGAAACATTTGACGGATATCGCAGATGTAATCACTTTGTAGAGAATCTCTAAATCTGAAAAATATGTTCCATGTAATGTGAGATTTTTCCATCAAGCAGTTATCATGTTATCATGATTTCATAGAGTAAATATTAACTTCTTTCCTACGCAGAACCCTTCCTGCACTGCAACGGCACATCTGGACACTTTAGCTGTTTTGTGCACCATTATTGACAGAAATAAAGGCAGAAATCTTCCTTTTATCTCATTTTTACTTTTACTCATGTATGTGATCCAAGGCTGTAAAATATGGAATAAAGTTAAGTAGAAAGGACAGGTGCAGAGTTGAGATGAGCTCTTCTATGAGGACGTTCAGGTAATGCAAACTTTTACTGTTTTAAATTATACAATGAAGGAGGCATACGGGGTCAAGGGCAGACTTCCAGGAATCTTACTTGCTACACAACCTCCACAACAGTGTCCTTGAGTCATATCGGGGTGTGCATGGGCTGCTTTCCTCTGAAGTCGAATACCAGTTTTGTTTGGGGTCTTTTCTGCATTCAGGAACAAGTTTCTGTTACTGCACCTCCTGTAAAGGTCTCACACCCTCCCTGTAGTCCTCCTACATGCTGCTAGTGTCTGCATCATGTTGTTTGTGTCTGTATTGTCTTTCCACTCTGTAACACTAGAACCACCACTGGAAAGTCAAAGCTTTAAGAACCCCCCCCCCCCCCCCCCCCCCCCTCCCCAAAGATCTCACATTACATGACTTTTCCTAAAATGGGGTTAATCATCAAATACTGCATGTTTGAGTGAGTGGGATCAAACGGAAAAAAGCAAATCATTTCACCTCATAGAAATTAATATAGAGCCACTTCTGGTGCCAGGTTATTGTTTACACAGATTTTAACATGAAGGCTCGAGCAGAGCTGGTCAGAGTGGGGAATGTGTGACTGACTGTCTGGAAACTGGGTAGGTTCCTGGCTGTGTGCAGGCAGGAGAGGACTCAAATGCAGACTCATGGAGGCGAAGACAACACAGCTTTATTTGCTGGCTGGTAAAACAATACAAACTACTCTGGGAAATAATATAAACTAGACACACAGAAAGGCACTCAGGGAAACACACAACCATGAGGGTACAGAAAAAAAACACAGGACTAAAATCCACTAAGGGAAAACGAGGGGGTGAGACACAGCAGGGAAACGTGGGGGAAGAAAAACCAGAAACATTGATGTGAGACAGGGCCCTCCTTAGCTTAGCCTCTTGGTGGTGGGAAACTGCACAGTGAACCACTAGGTCATTTAAACTTGTTGCACCAGCTCTGTCTGATAACTTGTGGCTTATTAGATTCTGCATGGTGAACACAGACATGGGGAGGACACGTCCAGTGTACTCCTAGTGGCAGTGCCAAGCTCAGATAAATGGGGATAAATGGGTTGTGTCATGAATCAGACATAAAATATTTGACAAATCAAACATGTGAATCATCATGAATGAGCTTAGCACACTGGATCAGTCTGAGTTAACACTGACTGCCCCTGCTGCTGTTGTGTGTTTTCTGTAGTTTTCAGTTTTTAGTTTGGTGTCTAAGGAAAAAGAATGAGAGAGAGAGAAAAAAGGTTGTTCTATCTTTATGACTGTGTGTTATTGTACACACTCTGTCCTCTACATTAGAATCAATCCAGTCCTTGTAGACTGAGATGAGAGCAGTGGTGCATGTAGATGAGTAGAAAGCTAAGAAGAAAGGAGATGTGCTCAACATTAGTTATATTCTGCAAAAAAGTATTTCGACATGATTTTCCTTTCTACACTTAAACTTTCATTTGAGTTCTCCTAACTTTCCTATTTATCATTTTTGAATACTCTTCTGTTAAAAATTGAGCAACATTTAACATTTTTCTCCAAGATATATGAACGCAACAAAAAATTACATATGCAAATAACACATTTTATGATTTAGAAGCTAAGAGATAAAATACATGTTGTAAAAGACGAATTCCATCCTGCTCTCTCTGAGTGTGTCACTCTCAAAACAAAATTAAAATACTTTTTGGCTCCTTGTAAGATTGTAAGTTAGTTATAGTCAGTCTTTGCAGTGATCCTGATTAATCAGAGGATGATCCCTGCAGCTCCAGGCGCAGCTCGCACAGAGCAGACAGGTAATCTTCGTTGTCCTTGTCACAGTTCAGAGCTTTCTCATAAAAAAAAGCAGCTCTCCTCCTGTCGCCCTCAGCTCTGGCCACCTGACCCAGCAGAGCGAGAGCTTCACCATCACCCCGATTCTTTGCCAGACGCCTGTCAGCGATCTGCTTCAGTTTCTGCGGGAAAAATAGAGGAACAATGAAAGATTAATTTATGTTCCAAAGAAGTAGATTCTGTTCATCTGGGTGTAACGTTTTTAGTGGGAGAAAACATTACATTATGCTTTAATTAAAAAAGCGACATTTTGAAATTTGAACTATGGAGGCTAAAGGATCTACCTCCCATCCTACATTTAAATAGTATAGGCACCACAGGTAAGCCCACAATCTGAGGTTGAATTGCTCTAATGGGGTGATATGGTACTATAAGGTCTTTAAGATAAGATGGGGCCTGATTACCAGCTTAAAATGTTTCTAAGAGTTTTCGGGGGACAACAGAAGGAGAAAAGCTATAGAGAGGTGTGTAAGACTGCAACTCTGGATAGTGACTTGGGGGGTTTTCATAAATTTGGCCAGACTTTTTGAAATGAAAGGAGTTCCATCCAATGTGGGACTGATGCCACATCTCCTCACAAGACCTAGTGAAAGACAGAACCACTGACAGTCACCAGTAGTTTTCAAAACGTAAGTTGAAAACAGTCCTCAGGAGCACAAGTAGGTGGTATTGAACAAATCATTTACATCAAGGGAGCTTTGATATGAGGTTTTGCTCACATCCCATGAGTTAGTATTAACACTGAGTTTATATAACACGTAACCTTTGTTATGTCTCTAGTGCTCACCTTAGCACACTGTCTCCAATTATATTTTTTCTGTGGTATCAGCAGCCCCTGCAGAGAGAAAACAGCAGAAGACTATCAGGAAGATAAATCCATCCATACTAAGGTCATGTGGTGGATGTGAGCGGTAACATGTTTCACATTACTGCCCCGACACCTCCACCCTCCAAACAAGGCCTGTTAGTTTTTCTTCTTTCATTGTTCTTCTTGGGTTGAAACGTGGGACATTAAGAGGCAGCTGCATGTCTAACACTGTACATGCAGCTGCCTCAGTTGGTGTAATTTGCCCTCTGATGGATCAGCTACCTGTCACCTTCATTTTTTCTTCAGATAGGACCAATCAGAGTCTGGCACCTGGAAACTTACCTTGGTATAGTGAGCGATGGCTTGAGCCTCATTTTTTTTGTGATAATGAAGAAAGTCACCGCAGCGCTGATGGATAGTCTGACAATCCTTTTCCTCCTCCACCTCTGGTAACGTCTCCAAGCACTTCTGGAAAGCCTCCTCAGCCCTGAGAAACAAAGAGATGATGAGGAATCTACAGCCAGAGGAAAGAAAGAAGGAAACCCTGCAGCTTTGTTTAGACGGGTACCTGCTCATATCCCCTGCCTCTGCACACAGCAGTGCCAGTTCAGCCCACGCCAGGACAAAAGGTCTCTTCCTCTTCACAGATTCTTCAAGGTGACTGATACAAATACGCCTCCACTTACGCACCTCTTCTGTGGAGCATTAAAGGGTGATTTGAGTGGTGTTTATTTAAGGACAACATGCAGTATATTTCTGTGTACCTCTGTTGCTGAAGCGCCTGCGACGCTCAGCAATTATTTTCTGCTTGTAGCACAGAGCCAGCTGGTAGTTGAAGGAAGATAATTGATCGCCCCTTTTCAGTCCTCGCTCAAACACAACAATAGCCTCATCCAGTCGATTCTGGAACGGGATTAAAAAACACTAATCACATACAAATATTCAGATCAATTTGAGGATAGAAGAAGAAAAATAACAGAAGAATGGTTCAAACTCTCTTAACAGCTATAAATGCAAACACTGAAGGTAATGAATTTGTAAGGAAATTCGCTCTTGTTCACACCAACAACTTATATAAATGCATGAAAGTCTATAAAAAAGAAAAAAAAGGAGGGAAAGGGGGAAAAAAGACGAATGGAATCACTCAGACAAACGCAGACTCCTAGCTCAGGAGACAATCAGGAGACAGACTCTATCTCTACTATTAAGATTAGGCTTAAAACTTTCCTTTTTGCTAAAGCATATAGTTAGGGCTGGATCAGGATTTCGGCTCTGCTTTTGTAAGTGTAAGTTCTATAAGCTTCGTCAGGTTTTGGCCTCCAACTTGAAGGGTGAAGTGGCAGCAATTAGAATCTGCACCTCTAAATGAGAGGCCGTGGTCCTCAGCCAGAAAAGGGTGGAGTGCCCACTCTGATTCAGGGACAAATTACTGCCCCAAGTGGAGGAATTGAAGTGTCTCAGGGTCTTGTTCATGAGTGAGGGGAGATTGGCAGATAGATTGGTCCTGCAGCTGCTGTGATGCAGATGCTGTACCGGTCAGATGTGGTGAAGAGAGAGCATAAAAGCGAAGCTCTTTATTTACCAGTTGATCTACGTCTCTACCCTCACCTATGGTCGCAAACTTTGACTAGTGACCAAATCTGATTGCAGATACAAGGGGTTTGTCCAAAGGGTGGCTGGCCTCTCACTCTAAGATAGGGTGAGGAGCTTGGCCGTCCAAAAGGGGCTCAGAGTAGAGCCGCTGCTCCTCCACATTGAAATAAGTGGAAGAAGATGAATGGATGGATGGATATTCATAAATTTGAAATGTAATCAGTGTGTCTGTACTTACCATGGGAAATTTATGAAACTTCCTGTAAAACATTAATACAAATTTGCAGCAGTGGACGCCACAGTTGACTGTCTACCTCAGGTTTAATGGCTGGTTGTTCTCGTCCCTGAATCAGTACAGTATCAGGATTAAGGAGAGCAAAAACACCCAAGCTGTTCAGGATTACAAAATAGGAAAGGAAATGAAGGCTAAAGCCAGCCAGCATCCCCAGAGATCACGGAGTTGTTCTAAAAACTCCCAGGAGCCAAAAATGAAAGTCATATGAAAGTCAAGGACAGGTTTTATAACCTTTAAATAAAGTGTCTTTATTGACCTGGCTGCTGTTGATGATGCTCTATTAAGGCTTGTATGGTTGAGGAGGCCTTAAAGTGGATGGTGAATGTGCTTTCATTTATAGACAGAAGCTAATGGCATGAATGGTGGGCCCAGGAAGATTTCCAGACTAGAATCTTGGACTTCGATCATCTGGTACCTTTACCCTCAGGTCAAGCAGAGTTGGAGTCTGTTGGCGTTCTCTTCTCCCTCACTGTCACCAAGTTGTTAACATTGAATTAATTTCTAAGTATAACACTGCAGGTGCCTTGACATACTGTAAATAATGTTAGAATAGTTTCTATGAAGAAAACATTTAAAAAGAAACTGAGGATGAGTCTCTACAGAGGGATTTCCTAACTTTTGTTTGGTCTGCTGTTACTAAGCCAAAGACCCAGTGAGCAGAAGTAAGAATTTATAGGACCAAAGTTGCAGACTTACCTGATGACGTAAGTATTTTCCTGAGTGGCGGATGATATGAGGGTTATCAGGATCATTCTCTAGTGCTTTCTTCACCAGACTCTCAGCCTCTTCGTATTTCTTATAGGCCGCCAGCTTCGCACCCAGCGAGCACTGCAGAGCAGCGTTATTTGGGTTGATCTCCAATGCAAAGCGAAGCTGTTTGATGGCCTGGGATTCCTCATCTTCCTGTAAGTTTTCTAAAACCCACTGCAGATGAGAAACTGGTTAGTCCACAGTTTCTTTTGCTTGAATAAATATTAGTCATTGAAACTTCTAAAAAATATACTGACGCTGAAGTAACTGAGGCCACTGAAGGAGCCCTAAAGTTTACTCTCATCCTTTGGTGCTGTCTCGATTTTAGGAAGTCCTCTTATAGCTCATCACCTACTGTCATTAAAGCTGCTGATTGACTTGACCATAAACTGTGTTTTGAATCTCATGCTGATGCCACTACTAAAAAAGTTCAACAAAGACTGTTCTTTTTAAGTAAAATGAGATCTTTTAATGTCTCCTCTCAGATGTTGTCCTTGTTTTACAGAAGTTTTATCGAATCTGTGATGTCTTTTTGTATCGCTGCCTGGTTTGGTAACCTGACGGTGAAGAATAAGAATCGATTGGGACTTCTGGTAAAAACTGCTCGCAAAATTTCAGGGCATTGGCACGATGGACTTTTGGCCATTTACAATAGAAATGTGCTGAGTAAGGCTCATTCTATTATTAATTGTTTGAACCATCCACTTCACAGTGAGTTTGAGTTGTTGCCTTCCGGGCGCTGTTTTAGAGCACCTGTGAGGACGACCAAAAGACTCCAGGTCTCTTTTATCCTCACTGCATCTTGTCTCCTTAATGGCAAATAACTGTCCTTGGACTTTCTATCACTATTGTCATTATTATTTCATATTATTGTTCTGTTTACTTTTATCCTGCTGCTAAACTAACTTCCCCCTGTGGGACAATAAAGAATTTGAATTGAATTGAATTGAGGAGGAATATACCCATATAAGGTAATAAACTCTTCATCCTTAGTGTTAAGATGTTGATACTATACCAGTATCCTTTAAAAGCACAATAAACTTTTTTGCCTTCCAGTAAAAGCAAAATTAAACAATGACTTACTTTTATTTGTAAAGAAAGCAATACTGTTAAATACACCACACTTCTGTGCTCAGCTGCAGTATCCAGATAAACTACATAATTATGCTACATCATTTTTAGCAATTTAGTGATTCCTTGAGCAAAAAGTAACTTTTTGAACAACTCTGTTACATTCAGAGCATCTTTTAAGTGGAATAAACTGCCTTATGCAATTAGAGAACTAGTGACTATTCATAATTAAAAAACCCAAAACATTTAAAAGCCTATTTATACAGTTTTAATAAATATTGTAAATATTGTAAGTGGGTAATGTTGTGACCTGTTTTCCACATGTATTGTGCCTCAATGCTTATATTTTTATGATTATTGTGGATGTAAGAGCCAAATTATGTGGATGTTTTGCATCTGTATTACAATCATCTTTATTGCATAATGTTTTATTATATTATACTTGATGGCTTGGGCCCCAGGAAGATTAGCAACCACTATTGTTCAAGCTGATGGGGTTCCTTATGAATAAATAAAAAATTCTTATCATAAAACTGACCTGTTCTCCACAAAAGAGGACAACGGCGTAGCAGGTGTTCCACTCAACATCATGAGGCTGTACCTCAAGTGCTTTACGAAAACAGTCGATGGCTTTTGATATAGAAGACCTCGACACCTTGAAATAGGCCCAGCCTTGTTCCCCATACACCTCTGGGAGGAAACTTCCTGATGAACCAGTGGGATACTTCACCTGCAGAGGGAGAAGGAAGCGTCAGAGGTTCAACAGCAGTGATCATAACATTTGATCTGATTGGTGTACATACCAGTATGTCCTCGACTCTCTGACAGTAGCTTTGTGACTGTGCAAAGTCTCCATCGTGATATTTCAGCCAGGCCATGTCTCCATACGTCACAATCAGCCGCCTCTCACTCTCATCACCGTAACTCTCCCTGATGGTCTCCTCTGATTGGTTTAAAAGTTTCAGCGCTTCCTCTCGTTGATCCTGAAGATACCTGAGGACCAACAGGTCATCAACAGCTGTTCCACATCTGGTGTTTACGACACCTGACAAGAAACTGACTTGAGGGTTCAACTAACACTTGTTGATGATTCATTTAGGTTTTTATCTGAGGTTCATGACTCCAGGGTTAGATAATTACTGCATTTCCACCAGAAAAACAAGAGTCCAAACAAACTTTAGGAAACAGATTTATATCAAGATTCTTAAAGAATCAGAAACTTTAGTCCAATACTCCAATAATGTTTCTCTTTCTATCATGTGTATCTATTAAGGTTGAAATAATGAAGTAAACTTAAAGCAAGCTGACGTTTTTCTTCTAGCTGTAGCTTTGCTAAGCTGCATAAATCTGGTGATTGTTTATTTATATTGTTAACTTATGAAGTGAGTTGAACGTGAGCCAGCCATATCTAGTCCAGACAAAACGTTGTTACATGAAATAAAATAAAATTAATCTGTGTTAGCAGCAGGAGCACTGCTGGTAGGTAACATTAGCAGAAGAAACACAGCTCAGGGTTGGATCTGATCCTGAAAACAAAACTATCTCTCTATCATTCAAATATAAATCCTGCTGATGCTGACCACTGTTTCCTTTGACAGTCAAATTTCTCTTTGGTCAGACGGACTTCAGTGAGAAAAACTGTCTTTCTTCTGGCTAATGTTAGCTCTTCTCTTCTGTAGCAGAGTCACAGAAATAAAAGTGTTGAGATTTGAATGAGCAGAATAAATCCACTTTAGCTTTTCCTTCATCAGACAGCTCCAGAAACTGTACCTGAAATAAGCCAAGAGGCTGTAGAAGCAACCTGCTCCTTTATACGGACTCTGATGAAACTCTATGTCAATCTCTGTTCGGGTGATCAGTTTTTTCGGGGATACGTCCAGCTTCAGATCCCAGGTGAAGTGACACTGCAACTGCTGCAGCCTGCTGAGCAGAGCGCTGCTATCTTCACTGTAAGAGAGTCACAAAGAAAACGCTGTGAGGAGCATCAGAGGGAGAGCATCAAACCAGGACTGGCTGAACCGAGGCTCACTCAGTGCTCTGACACACTACAACCAGCACATGATCAAACATCCCCACTCAGAAACTCTCATGCCAGTTCACCCACACTTCGCAGCTCCTCTCCTTGACAAAAATTCAGTTTGTGTGATCAACCAATGAAATCAGTGATGTGAAGTAGACCTGTGGTTTGAATCTCACACTGAGGAACCAGAAGAAACCTTAGATGTGGAGTGAGACACAAACACAGGGGGACAGCTAATGTTGTGATACAACGTTTAATTCATTTGATCACATGCCAGTGTTAAAATGTCTAGTTATTGATGTAAGATGTGTCATGTTTCAGCTGTGTTCAGGCAGGAGAGGACCCAAACACAAACTCACGGGGACACGGGAAATAAACTCAAAAGCACCGCTTTATTTCAGACTCGAGGAAAGGATACAAAACTAAACTTCACAGTGAGGCACACAAGTAACACACAGCATGAGGGACGACACGACACTGACTCAGAGAAACACAGGGCTTAAATACACTGTGAAGTAACGAGGGGAATGAGACAGAAGGAGGGCACAGCTGGGAGAAATCAGAACTGACGAGACAAGGAAGCAAAGCAGGATGCACGCACATGAGACAGACCTTCAAAGTAAAACAGGAAGTACAACACTGAGACGTGAACTTGACACCGTGGAGACAGAGCAACTAAGAAACACAGAGATATAAACCATAAGGCAGAGCACTCTAAGGACCAAAATACACAGACGGAAATACTAGGCATGGAACACAAAAAAACTAAATTTAAGGGAGTAACTAAAGACCAACAATGAGGACATAACTTACAACACAAAGTGACAAAAAACACAGGAAACTCAAAACACTTCATCAAAAAACCCAGGACCCTGACAAGATGCATCAGTTGCCCGTGTTTTTTTAGTTACCAGTGTTCATGATGTGGAATTAATACTGTTGAAGAGTTGAGCACTGAAGTAGGCAAGCAGGGACACGGACTCGAACATGCATGCAAGGTAGTTGTGAGCAATCAGGGCTCAATTGTGTGGATTTTGATACCCAAGTATGGGAGGTTATTAATTTTATTTTATTTCTTATTCGACTGATAGAATATTTGATTACTAAAATAATCGATACCTGCAGCACAGATTATTATTATTACATAACAGGTTTATAATTTTATAACCTCCACTTTTTCCTCTTCCTCTGATTCACAGACTCCTCGACTGTGTTACTTTGTATCCCTCTGCGTGCACCTGAGCGCCAGGTAAACTAAACTACTGCTGGATTTAAAGTCCATCAGGTGGTTCACTTTGTGATAAATGACCGATTATTTATCAAAGGTTTGGCAGACTGACCTCATGTTGGAGCAAACAGAGACCTCCTCCTCCTCAGACTCAGCAAAGTGATGACTGAACACAAAGAGTGCGTGGACCGATCTGTGAAGCTGTCACCTCAGTTACACAAACCACACACCCCTGCTCCTGCTGCCTTCAGGGCCCCGCTGAAAACAAGTAAAAGTGAGAATCCATCTGCTCGTGTCTCTCCTCTCCTCTCCTCTCCTCTCCTCTCGTGAATTTAATGGCCATAAATATAAAGGATGTTAGGAGACGGGAGTCACACATTTGAGACAGGAGGAAAGCGTACCGACGAGAAGGCTGGGCTTTCTGTTTTACATGACCTCAGGAGGGGTCTTTGAAGGCACCACGAGGAAACGTTAGGTTTCGTTTCTGCATCTCAGCTGAGAGCGTCACCAAAGATCACTGATCAGCCATTGGTCTGTAAATAAGCGATTTATCTGTATCTTTTCTGAGGAAGAGAGGGGCTGTTTCTTGTAGCATGACGTGAGTCCACATTAGCTTCACAGCAACTTTCTAGTTCCTGAAAACCACCACAAATAATACAGATACTAACGGAGGTGGCAAAAGTACAGACAATCTGTAGTCCAGCGGTAAAAATACTCAAGTAAAAGCTGAAGTACAGATTCAACTTCTTTGCTCAAGTAAAAAATAAGTTTTTTTAAAAGGTAGAAAAAGAGGGCCAGGAGTTCCAAAATGAATGAATAAAATATGATAATAATTAACTGAAACTGGAATTAATGAATAAATAGATAAACAATTAAATGTCTATTTATTTTATTGAAAACATGCAATAAAGTATTTATTTCCAGTTTTAATAAATTACATCAACATTTAATTATTTTTTCTTCTCATTTTTTCCACAAGTGGACCTTTTGCTATACTGGTCCACTTGATTGTCATAGTTTATTCAAGCTTTATTATTTATTCTTATTTTAAGTTATTACAATCAGAACGGACGGACTCGGGGACAGGAAAGAGAAATAAGAAGAAAAGTTGGGAGTAAAGTAAACAGAAGGAGAGAGAAAGAACAAGAGGGGAGAAGAGGGATAGAGAGAAAATCACTAAAAATCTGCTTCGCCAACTGCTGAAAAACAAACTAGAAAAATGAAAAGAGCACAGTAGGAAAACTACAGCAACAAACAACATAAGCACAGGTAACAGTAAACCCATCTACCCAGTCTACCCATCACTGGGCAGAGTCACCACACCCCCTCGTTTGTGGCACCTGCAATCAGCTGGCCGACTCTTAAGACCAGCGTTCTTGAACGTTGCTCGCCGGAGTGTCAGCTAACCCACGTTAGTGAGAGTCATAGCTCAGTAAATCCTCTTTCAGTGTTTTTTCTTTCTTTCTTTTCACTCTGATCCTGTCTAGTCTCCACTGCAGCTTCTCTGAGGGTTGGATCTTGTTGTCAGTAACCACTCAATTTCATATTGCTGGTTTGTTTTCTGTTCTTGGTGCTATACGCCTGCCTGCCTCCCTGCTCAACACTTCACAGTGAGTGTACGTGAACTGGCTAAGCCTCACCCGGACCTCTACTCCCCTCCAAGACTCGCCTTCCTATGGGGATAGTTACAAAGCTTTCTTCGTTATGAATGAGCATTTTAGTTAGCATCTCCAAAAGTTGATTCTGTTCATCTGGACGTAGCGTTTTGTGGGACAAACGTTTCATCACTCATCCAAGTGACTTCTTCAGTCTCAGCTGACTGCAGGTTTCCCCGATCTTATAAACAGTACATTTGCATGATGACTGAAACCAGCTCAGTGAAGGAACTATGGGCTGGGAGGTCATTTCCTTAATCATAACGATGCAAATTCTCATGACCATTGATCAACAACCAATGACCAAAACCCACTGATCAATGGCCATGAGTACCATTCACAGAGAGGGGAATGGCTGTCACAGCATTGTCAGATGGCGAAAGATGTACCCTTAGGCCCCCTCCTCGATTCAGTGATGGTCTTTTCCTTTTCATGTAAATGGCCTCTTTGACTCTGCGCTCAAACCAGCGTTCCTCCCTGTACAGGATGTTTACATCCTCATCATTGAAAGAGTGTCCACTGGCCTGTAGGTGTAAACAGACTGCAGAGTACTGGCCTGACGAGGTAGCTCTTCTGTGTTGTGCCATCCGCTTCACCAGAGGTTGTTTGGTTTCCCCGATGTATAAATCCTGCCAATCCTCCTGGCACTTAACAGCGTACACTATATTACTCTGTTTGTGTCGGGGGACCCGATCCTTTGGGTGGATCAATTTTTGGCGAAGCGTGTTTTAGGGTTTAAAAGCCACAGAGACGTGGCGTTTAGAAAAAATGCGTCTCAACTGCTCCGATACTCCTGACATATACGGGATCACTACAGGTTTTCGCTTGAGCAGCGGTTGTCCTTCTTTCCTGGATTAGCTGGAGCTTTCTTTAGGTGCCTTTCCAGCTTTGACAAAAGTCCAGCTGGGATAACCACATTTACTCAGGGCCTTCTTGATGTGCTGTTCTTCTGCCTCCCTGGCCGCTGTGTCAGTGGGGATGGTGTTCGCTCTGTGTTGTAGTGTCCTGATGACACCCAGTTTGTGCTCCAGTGGATGATGAGAGTCAAACCTTCAAACACACTTGGTCGATGCTGAGAGTGGTCCTGTTGCTGAGGTTGGGGTCATCCTGTAATCTCTTACGGACTACCTCCAACGCTTCGTGACTGGGATGCAAGTGAAGAGAGATGTAACGTCGTACGAGACCATGGTTTCATCTGCCTCCATAATGACATCTCTCACCTTCTCAACAAAATCCATGG